AAGATCCTGAAGTGATTCTTAGAAAACACCACATCAATGGTGAAATTGTTCACTACTGTTAGGTGCCATTGGGTTGCTTTTGACTTACAGTGACCTTGTGTATGTTTCCGAGGAACCACTAGTGGGTTTGCACTTCCTGCTTTATCCTATAGTGTCACACTATTGTTGTTGTGCCAGTTGTTCCGACTCACAGCGACCCTGCATAGGGTTTTCGAGGAATACTTAGTGAGCTTGAACTGCCAACCTTGTCCTTCAAACTGACTTTGCAGTCCAGTGCATTAACCCACAGAGCCACAACTCTGAAATTGTTCACTACAAATCAGTAAATAAGCAAAAGTAAACCTGCGCTTGCCTTGCTGAGTCCAGAGATTGTAAATTTGAAAAGAGGCTTTGATTCTATAGGAGGGTGCTGTGGGGTTGGGAGAGAGGTATATAACTAGAAGTGAAAAATTGCGGAATCGTTCATTACAGAATAGTAAGTAAGCACAAGTGAGCCCATGTTTGCCTGGTTTATGGCTAATCCAACACTACACTTAGGGGAGAAAGCTGAGTAGGAAGCCCACTCAGCTTCCTGCCCCACAGGTAGGAACAGGGTCACTGCTCAGAGAAGGGCTGCAGCCTGGCCAAGAGGGGCTGTCACACATACCACCAGCAGGTGTTGGGCATGGCAGGAAGGAGCACCTCCCCTGGAACATTGTCGCCTGTGTTGTCTTGAGAAAGGACAATGTTGAGTTTATCTGAATGAAGTGGCTCCTGCAAGAAGAGCCACCATGAACATCACCTGGCATGTCCTGAACACTCCCAGTGGCCTTGCACTGTGCCAAGTACGTTCGATACATTCCTTACCTGAAATCTTCACAACTCCAGGATCATCCCCATTTGACGGATGCGGAAACTGTCTCAGAGAGGCTGAGCCACTTGCCCAAAATCAAAGAAATGGTAGAGCTGGGATTCAAACCCAGTTTGATCCCAACCACTATGAAATCCTTCTTTCCTTCCTACATTTGATAATGGTGGCGATGGTGGTGTGCCTTGGAGTCGGTTCCGACTCATAATGACCGTGTACAGGGTTTCTGAGGCTGTAAATCTTTACGGGATAATATTAGTAATCATAAATTTCAGATTTGCTTAATCTTAACAGAGAACATGAGACTTGGACGGAATTAGAGGCCATGTAGTGTTGGCTATGTGGTCCTGGTGTTTGGAGAGAGGCCCTGGTTGCCAGATTGCTAAGTTTTTTCCTGGGACAATGACAGGAACCCATCCCAGCTGTGGGCTTGTGGTGTGGTAGGCCTAATTACCAGGAGAGCAGAAGAATCAAACTGGATTTTCCAGGGAAGCTTTTTAACTGAGGTGGACTGCACACACAGTCAGGAGAAAGATGAGGCTTTCTGTTCCTGTAAAGATTTACAGCCTTGGAAACTTGATACAGGGCTCGACAGTACCTAACAGCAGCAAGAACATTTATGATAAAACACATGGAGCGGATAAAGTGCAGATGTTCAAAATAAACTCAATGACTGGACAGAGAGTCACTTACAACCACCACCCAATCCCCAAGTTTCCTTGTGTTTATTTCAGTCTCTACCCTCTGCAATGGGTGGAATGGTGTTCTCTCAGAATTCACATCCAGAATGTGACCCTATCTGGAAATCGGATCTTTACAAATCTAAGTAGTTGAGATCATACTAGATTAGATAAGAAGAGGAAGGACACACACAGGGAAATACACACACTGGAGTGACACCAACAGCCAAGGACACCAACAGCCACCAGATCCTGGAGGTGGCAAAGGATTAGTCTCTATAGACTTGGGAGGAGCGTGGCTTTGCTGACACTTTGATATCTAACTTCTAGCCTTCTGAGAATAGGAGTCCTGGTATGGTGCTGTAGGATAAGCACTTGACTGCAACAAGGTCGGTTTAGACCACAAAGTTGGCTGTTTGAATTCACCAGCCACTCCTTGGAAATCTTGTAGAGTTACTATGGGTCAAAACTGACTCAACAGCACTTAACATCATCGTAAGCATCCCAGTTTATGCTACTTGGTACTCACAGCCCTAGGAAATGAATACACCCCCTCTTCCCACTAACCACGATTCTGACTGCTATCATCACAGATGTCTTCCTGTTCTAGGTCTATATATATCAGACAGCAGGTACTATTTTGGGTCCAGCTTTTCACGTAACATTACGTCTGTTGTAGTCATCATGTCATAGCATGTACACCCATAATTCATTGTTTGTTTTGTCTACTGTATGAATATAATCTGGTTGATGGGCATTTCGACTTTTTACAGTTTTTGGCCATTATGAATAAAGTTATGTCAGACACAAAAGGACAAATGATGCATGGTCCTCATATGAAATATCCATAATAGACAAGTTAATTAGTAATGATTACCAGAGGCAGATGGGAATGGGAACTGGGAAACTGGGAAGGTATTGTTTAAGGGGTACTGAGTTTCTGTTAAGGAGCCCTGGTGGCACAATGGGTTAAGTGTGGGCTGCTAACCACAAGGTTAGTGGTTCAACCCCACCAGCCACTCCCTGAGAGAGTGATGAGGCAGTCTATTTCTGCACAGATGAATAGTCTCAGGAACTGACGGCGCAGTTCTACTCTGTCTTATAGGATCATTGTGAGCTGGAATCAACTGGATGGATGGTAAGGGGGTTATTGTTGTTGTTGTTTCTTTTAAGGGTAATGGAAAAACTTGGAACATGGAGACTATAGAATCAATGAATTATACATGTAATAATGGTTGTGCGTTGGGTTAATGGACTAGACTGCAAAGTTGGTTTGAGCCGCAAGATTGGCAGTTCAAGCTCACCAGCATCTCCTTGGAAACCCTAAATAGGGTCACTATAGGTCAGAACGGACTCAATGGCACTTAACAATGTTATATACAAGGGGGTTCAAAAAGTTCACGGAAAAAAGGAGTGGAAATGTTTCACTATCCTTCTGAATTTCTCTTATTTCATCGCAATGCTAACAAAATAAAGCTATGAAATCGGTCTTTTTGGTGATGTAAACATTCATTTCTCTTGGGCTTCTAGCTACCAAGGGGAGCTGCCGAGGTATGGGGCAGCTATGCAATTTAGCTTTAGTAGAAAACTGCCGAATGTTAACAGTGATTATACCCTGCTACCCCACACCAGGACTTGTGGGGTGTCCTAGGATAAGTACTTGACCTCAAGGTCGGTCACTCCTCAGAACCAAGTCGATGGCACTAACAACAAAGCCCCCATCAACAGTGTTTTAACCTGAGTCTTCATTGCTGTTTGACCGGTAAAGGTTATAGATAAGGAGCAATCTAGTGTGGTTAACAGGGACGTCATGGCATCACGGTGGTCAAGAATCTACTCAGTCAGAGCTCCTGCAGGAGAATGGCAGGATGGCCCCAGTGCTGTGCTTACAACACCCACTGTATTGGCCCTGAGGCCACACTCGTCAGAGGCTGTCGGCCAACGAGAGGCACAGCAGGGATGCCTCTCTAACAGATGGCTTTGGCTCAGGGACCCCTGATCAACCTGGTGCCATTTACTTCCAACTACTCTACAGCCTGGAACTCTACCCACTCAACGCCCTACCCTGCCCCGTCTCCTTCACAGGAGCCAGATTTGCTTTGAGTGATTCTCTGTGCACCAAAGATTAAAACAAAGATTTCCTTCCCTAAGGACAGATGTGGTCTTGGGTTAAATGTTCTAGCCAACTTCCACACAAGACAGGTAAAGGTTTGCTGCCAGGCATGGTAGTAGGCAGCCTGCGGATGGTATACACGACCCTGACTGACAAGACATCTGGACTGAAGGACAATGAATGCATACTGAAGACCAGAGCTTTAGGCTTCCCTGAGTGCGATGACCCTCATAACTGCACATGTCCCTCGAGGGGCCCAGGGGACTTTGACTGTGGGCTGTTACAAGAGATGCTATCTCCAGTCAAGGCAGTTCCCACAACCACTGATGTGGGCCTCATCTCTTCACACCTGAGCAGTCATTGAGAGGTAACGGAACAGGCCCTGGGATGATGTGAGGGCTCCTCCTGGGGAAGAAAACAGCTTGGTATGGCTGAGAATGCTCTCCTATATCCTTTCCAAGTGACTCCGATGCCAAGTGAGGTCCAGCAGATCTTGTGAACCTAAGAAGAGCCCCTCGTGGACACTACTCTCTCTCACCACAGCCCGTACCTACCTGCTTTTACTGCCAGGCTCCTCACCTACCCAACCAGCCTGCCTTGCTTCATCATCTTTGACACTTACCTGGTGTTATGTCTCCTTGGTTACGAACCAGAATTAGAGTATTTGGATAATGACGAGGAATCCCTGGTGCAAATGGTGACGTGTTCGGTTACTACCCGCTATGGTGGCAGTTGGAACCCACCCAGAGGTATCTTAGAAGAAAGGCCTAGCAATCCACTGAAGACCCCATGGAGTGTAGTTCTGAAACACATGAGGACACAAGTCGGAACTGACTTAACGGCAACTTGTTTTGTTTTTTTTTGGAGCAGAGGGGAGGTGTTTGGGTATTACTACCAGCCCCTCTTCTGATATGGCAAAGATGACAACTTCAGCAGGATGCGTATAACCATTTAATGACTGCTCCACATACACCCTTCACTGGACTACGGGTGAATTTCACAACGGGAGCTGACGAACCACCCACCCAAGCTACCACATGATTACTCAGTTTCCGGAAACCTAGATCCCAATCAGAAACAACTCAGTAAGAAATAGCATGATCACTTAGCCCCAGAGGTACCCAGGGTGTCTGGATGCTCAGATGGGGAGGACGATGGAGGATGTTCCACCTTACCATCGTAAAGAGGAATGCTGTGAACACCAAATGCCAGATGCAAAAGAAGACACTGAGGCACAGGCCTAGCTCAGGCCTTCTCAATAAATAAATAAATGCCAGAAGCCACCACTGGGGAACTCATGGGCCCAAGGACAGTGAGTGGGAGGGGCCACCTTCTCGAGGTATGGTCACGGCCCGCGTCGCTACGTGCTGCAAATCAGCACATCTGCAAAGGGTCCCAGGAGGATCTTGTTGAAGATGCAGCGGACCCACACCAGGTAGGTAGTGAAGGGCTTGATGTTGTCAGTGAACGTGTGGTTCTGCAAGGTCAGGATGTAAGGCACGTAGGTGTTTTCCCCCTGTTCCTGAAGCCACACCTCGTACTTGACCTCCCTCACCTTCAGGTACTTGAGGTTCCATGGGATCTGCCAGGAGACAGTAAGGCGGGCCTCCGAGGCCCCCTGCACTGATGTCTGGCACCGCGCTTCCCGCACCTTGCCCGGGTATAGGCCGACTGTCCACTTCTGCTTCCGTGGCCCGGGCCGGCCCTTTACCACACGCCGGATGGTTTGGATGAGGGATGGGATGTCCACCCTGGTGTCCTGGTAGATTCGGAATAGCCACTCGGGGTTCCGGCAACAGAGGTGTCGCGGGACCTCACGGCTTTGTAGGATACGGGCCTGCTCGGCCCGATCCAGGTGGGCAATGCCCCCCTGGTCCCAGGCCCGCTCAGGGTGAGTGACTGTGTTCTCTGGCACTATGTTCCGCCAGGCTACATACTGGAGGTCCATGCCGGGCAGCATGGCCAGAGTCTTGTAGGGGCTGTAGTGATCGGGATTGACAGCATATGGAAAGAGCTCAACCACGGTCGCCCCGCGGGGTAGAAAGAGGGTGGTGATCAGCTGGGCCCCATGCATGCTGACCAGCATGGAGGCATTGCTGACCAGCCGTACAACATCTGCAAAGGCATGGTCCTCCAGGGACACCGTCACGGTCTTCATCTGGAACTCCTGGGCCAATGCCAGCAGCAGCTCAGCCTCATTCAGGATGAGTCTGTTCTGGGTGCGGCTGAAGACCAGAATGTACTCCTCGCCCAGGGGGGTTCCTGTGTTGCTCACATTCAGCTTCTCAGTCATGAAGCGTGCAAACTGCCGGATCTCATTGCCTGAGACGAGGATGTTGGCCTTTGGGCCCTGGGGCTGGACAAAGCCATACTGGTACCAGGTGGTGATCTTGGAGAGGCCCACAAAAGCATGTGAGAAGCATAGCAGCCGGCCGAGGGTCTTCAGCTGGGCCCGTAGGAGTGGCTGCTTGGGGCTGAGAAGCTTGTAGAGGTCAAAGTGTGCCCCCTCCCCCCAGCCCTCCATGAAGAAGAGCCGGGCCTCATGGGCCAGGCCGGGGAACTGCCGCAGGGTGTAGAAGAGAGGCAGCAAGTCATCGTGGAAGACATGCATGAGGTTATCAGGGTTGAAGCGGTTGGTGATGAGGGCCACGTCGGGCACGAACACTGGCTTGGGCATGAAGCGCAGGGCAGCGGCAGGCAGTTCCACGAAGTTGAAGTACTGGGTGTTGTGGTCCTCCACAGTGGACAGATCGAGCAGGGCAGGCTGGAAGCGCCGTGAACCCAGGTTGGGCAGCATGACAGAGGTGTTGCCATGGAAAAAGATGAACTCCTCAGCCTCGTTGGAATAGCAGAGCCACTTGAAGCGGCAGATGCGGTCGGTGTGTGTGCGACCCGTGCACACCATGTGTGTACCGCCCTCCATCAGGATCTGCAGGGCCTTGGGGTAGTCGATCCTCAGCGCTGGGGACGGCTCGGAGGCCTGCCGGCTGATGGCCAGCTCTTCCTCCAGAGTGGACGCATGCTCCCACAGCCGCACGTGCTTCCACAGCACTGCCGCCAGCACTGACACCAGGAGCGCGTTGAACACTGCCGAGAGGTGCATCCTAACGCCACCGGGGGGCCCTAGAGAGATGATGGCCACCAGGGTATGCCGCAGGCCTGGTGGGCTTCACCCATCCCTATGGGAACCTTGAGCACCAGCCAAGGCCTGCAGGAAGGGAAAAGAAAAAAGGAAAGGTGTTGGCATAGTCTGTCTGGAATCTTTACAAGCTCCTACTGTATGCCAGATGAGGCAGTGGTGGCTCCCTGGTAGAATGCTTGCCTTCCATACAGGAGACCTGGGTTCGATTCCCAGCCAGGCACTCGGCTGCTAGTGGAAGCCTGTATGTTGCTATGATACTAACCAGGTGTCAGTGGAGCTTCTAGACTAAGACTAGGAAGGAAGGTCTGATGATCTAATTCCAAAAATCAGTTGATGAAAACTCTGTGGTTCACACTAATCTGATACCAACCAATTATGGGAATGATGTAGGACTGGGCAGTGTTTCATTCCTCTGTGCATGGGATTGCCATGATGCAGGAACACATGGACGGTAGTTGACACAACATGGGTATTTTACACACTGCTAAGTACCGTAGATTAGGTTGTTATTTGGACAGTGTTCATTCCCTCCTCACCATGTCCATGGTGGAGTGTAAGTTCCCACACCTTGACTCCGACTTTCCACTTGGAGCTGTAACTTGTTTGTAAAGACAATGAGATATTAGAAGCGCTTACACAACGGGCCTTGTCCTGATTATGGTTAAGGCAGAACGGCGAGCAGAACGTGCTCAGGCTCACTAGCTGGTCCCAGGAGGAGCGACATCATGTGAGGAAGAACTCCGCCAGTCATGCTCACCTAACCAGCTCACCGAGCCCCAGCCAAGCGCAGCAGCGCCATCCTGTCAGCACAGGCGGTGAAGCTAAATAAAGGCTCCTTACTGTCCATCAGGGAAGTGCTGTGGTGGTTTGTCACACAGCATCATCTGCAGCCAAAGCTATCTGACAGGGAGAAGCACATGTTTTCAGCTTCCTAAGTAAGCTGACCTTGCTAGGGGCGTGGGTGACAGAGGTAGGTCCCCGTTAGGTCCCTAGTCTACAGTACAAAGTGGGGTATACCTGAACAGCCTTCTGGAATCAGGGGACACTGAAAAACGGATGCCCGTAGTGCTGGTGTGCTGTTTCTCTTCTTGTAAGAGCTAATTCCCATGTGCTCCTGCTCAGGAAGCATCTGTGCGCTCAGGATCTGGTGGGAAGGATGTGATATTCACGGAGAAATTGCTATTAATGGTTGGGCCCCTTTTCTAATGACCGCCTGCCTACTCAGAAATCTGGGATGACCTATGACTGGAGTGTAGTTGCTTTCATCAATTGAACTGTGTCTTGTGTCTTCCAAAAATATGTTTTGGAATCCTAACTCCTATACCTGTAGAGGAGTCCTGGTGTTACACTGTAGGGTAAACACTGGGCTGCTAACTGTTAAGGTCGACAGTTCAAACTCCCCACCAGCTGCTTTTCAGAAACCATATTCAGGGTCACTGAGAGTCAGAGGGAGAGCCTTTCTAGAGTCAGTACACTGAATTTGGAATTTTAGCTTCCTATGAAAGCTGGACAGTGAATAAGGAAGATCGTAGAAGAATTAATGCTTTTGAGTTATGGTGTTGGAGGAGGATATTGAAAGTGCCATGGGCTGCCAAAAAAACCAACAGATAGATACGCTTTGGAAGAAGTGCAGCCAGAGTGCTCCTTGGAGGCCAAGATGGCCAAACTTAGTGCCTCATACTTTGGACATATTGTCAGGAGGGACCAGTCGCTGGAGAAGAATATCATGTTTGGTAAGGTGGAGGGTCAGAGAAAAAGAGGAAGACGCCCCAACAAGATGGATTGGCCAAGTGGCAGCATCGATGAACTAAAGCGTGGCAACAGTAGTGAGGTTGGCCCAGGATCAGGCAGTGTTTTGTTCTGCTGTGCATAGAGTCGCTATGGGTCGGTACTGACTTGATAGTACCTAACAACAACAACAATAGAAATAAATTTCAATTCATTACAACCACCCACTTGTGGTATTTCTGTTATGTTGTTGATGTTGTTAAGTGTTGTTGAGTCGGTTCCAACTGTATAGAGTTTCCGAGGAGTGGCTGGTGCGTTTGAACTGCCGACCTTAAGGTTTAATCCAACCTTGAAGTCAAGTGCATATCCTATGGTGCTACACCAGGATTCCAAGAAACTAAGACAGCTGCTAAACCAAAGGTTGGAGTTTCAAATCCACCCAGAGGCACCTTGGAAGCAAGTCCTGGAGATCTACTTCTAAAATATCAGCCACTGAAAACCCTATGAAGCGTAGTCCTACTTTGATGCATATGGGGTTGCCATGAGTCAGATTCAGTCCGACAGCAACCGCTTACCGGTTTATCCCTGGCTAGCTTCAGATTCCTGGTGTCATACAAATTCCATCCCCCTAAATTAAAAGTATTGATGTGCAATCTTGCCCAGAAAGATATGGTGTCTAATGCTAGGCTTTAATCCATAAAGTATGAGAAATTATCATAAGAAGTACGCGTAGAATCCTGGGAGGAACCTCAAGGTCAGCAGTTCAAGTAAAATAGAAGGGGGGAAAGCCGGTAAGAGGACCATACTGAGCAAGCTACAACCGTTCTGCGCAGGTGGACTTTAAACCTTAAAACTGAGGTTCTGGAATGGGATGACTTACAGCCTAAATTAAAACTCCATTCTGAATTAAACCAAAAACTTCACCTCTACTATTCTAAAGAAACAATCGATCTTTTTGTCAAAATTGAATTGCTGTAACACAAAGAGGAGTCAGGATTCTGGCTTGAATGAGGAGTTGTTCGTTGAAGGTTGTCTGTTAGGAATGTTTATTCAGCTTGAGCTGAAAAGAATACCTTTCTCGAGGATGTCCCCAGAGGTTGAAAAATAGTTAATAATGTTAAGATGAAGCCTGTGGTAGTCGTCATTACGTGCCGTGGAGTCGGTTCCAATTCAGAGCAACCCTGTACAGGGTTTCCGAGGCTGTAAATCTTTATGGGAGCAGAAAACATCATCTTTCTCCCGTGTAATAGCTGGTAGTTTCAAACTGCTGACCCTGTGGTTAGCAGCCCATTTCATAACCACTACGCTACCAGAGTGCCTTAAAATGAAGCCTTTAGGAGGTCATGAGACTCTGTAACCAAGATGAGGTCAATTACCCAAATCTTAATCAAACTTCATTTTCATTCACTAGAATCTTCTCCATTTCTTTTCTGCTCTTTGTAAACCTGTAACTTGCTAAAGCCTAAGCCTGTTATCTTAAGATAAGGGGACAGGCAGTATTTATTTAAATGGTGTAGTGGTTAGAGTTTTGGTCAATTTGACAAGGCTAGGATTTCCAGAGGTTTGGCAGTTAAGAAGTGCTTATTCCTGTGGTGATGAAAACTAATACAGGCATGGCTAGCTCTATGATAAGCAACTGTGTGTAGCCAATCAATTGAAGGGATACTTCCTTGGGGGTGTGGCCTGCTCCCAATATAATGGACACATGGGAGGGATTCTCTCTCTCTTCCACTGGGGACCCGGGATTCTGTAATTGTAAGCCCTTTCCTTGATAATAAACTTCTCTTTCTATGTATATACATGGACTCCTGGTGTGGTACTATAGGATAAGCACTAGACTGTGAATCATAAGATTGGCAGTTTAAACTTACCAGCTGCTCCCTGGATACCCTATACAGGGTTGCTATGAGTCAGAACCAACTCGACGGCACTTAACAACAGCAATATGTATACATACATATGTTTCACTGGTTTTCCTCCCCTGAAAATCCAGCCTAAGACAAATTGCATGGAGGCCATGTCGAACCTCCTCTGGCTTCATAAGGGGAAGGAGAATCAAAATCAGCTTAAGGCAGCGGTCAGACATGCCTCCACCCTTCCTATTCTGACCCCAACCATTCCTGTCGTGGCAGTCTATGTCTCTGCTGCATTGGAAAATCTGTTGCAATGGCCACACTGAACTCACAGACAATGCTCACAATGATGGGGTTTATTAGGAAAGTGAACAAGGTACAATTCAGAATCGGAAACAACTTTTCTAGATAGAACAGTTCTCTGGTCTGGAGTGCGTCTTGTAAGCCATACTGCAGACATGTCTTTCTCTCATCCTCTGCCTCTCAGTTATGCTGCCCTAACGCCTCTGTACTGCTCGGGCAAGTGCTGCATAGGTCCTTTATTCAAAGGGCACCCCATTCTTCAAGCCAGGATTCCCGAAGGCACATGGTCTCACTCAGTCTCTCTGTGCTGCTGACTCTTCCATTCAAGGATCTTGGGGTCCTAAAGACATGGTGTACTCGTGGCTCTTCTTTCTTGTTGGCAGTTAAATTCCCCTTTGCTGCTTCTGAGATGGCTCATCTTGAACTCAGTGGAAAGGCAGAAACAACCAATCCTTGAGTTAGAGTCCCATTTACCCTATTTGCATGGTCTGACTAGATTGTGAATGGAGTCCTGGTGTAGTGCTGTAGCATTAAGCCCTGGACCGCAAAGTCAGTTTGAACAGCAAGGTCAGAGGTTCAAATCCACCAGCCGCTCGTTGAAAGCTTTAGAGCGTCACTATGAGTTGGAACCAACTTGATGACACTTAACAACAAAAACAACAACAACTAGACTGTGAACTACAAGGTCAGCAGTTTAAGCCCACCAGCCGCTCTGTGGAAGAACAATGACGCTTTCTACTCCTACAGAGATTTATAGTCTTGGAAACTCTCTACAGGATTGAAATGAGTTGGAACCAATTTGATGGCACTTAACAACCACAACCTCCATCACCCAGTCATACGGTGGAAGTTACAAAAAATTGGATAGAAGGCCTATATCATATAAATTCATTGTACCACATGCAGACAAACAGCGGTAAGACCATTTATTCTCCACAGAATGCTTGTTAAACAAATCTTAGGACGTTACAATCTCAGGATATAACAAGTTAAATTTTAAGATTGTTGTTGTTGTTGTTGTTATGTGCCGTGGAGTCAGTTCCGACTCATAGAGACCCTGTACAGGGTTTCCGAGGC